TGAACACTGGTGTCGATTGTAGCATGATTCTCTAAACTTAAAATTATATTAAATTTGACAACAGTGTATCTTTGTCATTCCCTACACAGAATTAAAAGGGAAACTGATATACAATTTCAAATAATTTGTCAAATTTAATATAATTTTAAGTAAATTGATTGAGCGATTCCAAAGTGTACTACGTCCGTACCAGTCACGTTGCAAAATAAAATCGTAATTGATTGAATGATTCAAATGTGTATCTTAGCTGATTTTACAAATGTTTTAGCCATTTTTAAGTATAAACAAATACTAAGGTGGTCGCTAAATATTTAAGCTATTCAAAACTTTGTAAAGTTCAGTCTTGCGAGGGTGGAGCCTGTATCCTAAATCGGAACGAAAGGAAAACGAATTAATTGAATTATAAGCTATACACCAGTTGAAAAAATATGTTATTTAATCATACCAAGAACATTATTGTGGAAAGTTCATATATTCTTATTTCCAAGTAGAGGTAGACGATGTCTAAATTGCTTCAATGAAAACAATGTGATTAACATTTCGAATAAAATGTGACGCTCTTGTAATCGAAATTATATTTACGGATACACTCTACCCTTCTCTAGTCCGTTAGTAACTCACAATATAAAAATATAAATCCACGCCGATAACCGTACATCACTTTTATTAGTTTCGATAAATAACAAGAATAATTTTCCGATGTGATCGATCCTAATGTGTTGTTGTATTTATTGTAATTAGCTCGGAGGAGCTGCGGGCAGCGGTCAGTCGAAGCTCCGACTATTCGTTTCCACAATAAACTGTTTATTAGGAACTCATAATATTTGCATAATAGTGTTCCAAGGAATAACTTATGAAATTCAATCTCGAATAGCCCATTAATAATGAAAATTAGCTCAATAACATATATTGAATTTTTTTAACGACAATAAAAATAGATATGTTTAATTAATTACAATTTTTGAAATTGTTAATAAAAACCTGTTGATTTTATTCGAATATGATATGTTTTGAAATTTAGATAAGCAATAAAATCGGTGGAGTAAATTGAATTTTGATTATTGGAAAGAATCACCTACAGTTTAATGGGCTTTGAATGGACCACACCAGCCTACATCATGGCGAGAATTAGTAATTTGATGATTACTAAGCATAATAATTAACTAAAGACCATAACATAAAAATCATAAAACAAATATGAATCATATAATATACTTAAGCAATAATATTTTTCTTTACAAAAAACAACATACTTTGCAAAAAACTAAGGAATTCATTTTATTCAGTTTGGCACTATAAGCCGTTAACCAATACCCATTTTTCACGTGTAAAAATCCTATTTGGAACTTTGTGAATAAAAAGAAAGTCTACCTAAAAAAATCTGAAAGCTGTTTAGTGATAGGTATATCATATTTTTTTTCAATTTCAACTGAAAAAAAATAGCTTAGGAGAGTCGTAACCCCTTTAACGACGAACGAAGGTTCAGTTATTTTACCGAATCGAATGGGTAATAACATTTTTTTAAATTGTTACGATAACCACTGCGCTACTGTAGCCCTATCGTTTCCCAGCTGCACTGGCCTTTTAAATCCAAATCTCATATCCCACTAGTAGGGATGATAATAAACACGTATACACGTTATCCCATCTAATTTGACATTTATCACTATCCCTTACTGTTAGCACCCAAACAAAAGCAAAATGCCATAATATCTTAATCGCACAATCACTTAAGTATAATCGAGACAAATCGCCACGATAACTCAGGGGTAATTTTAACGGATTGCCTGCTACTTAAAATCAGACCGGCAATTAGTGAAGTAAGGGCAATACGTCACATACCGCAGCCCGGTCGGGTCGGCCGAGCGAGATAATGCGCGCGTAAATCACAATAAAAGTCTGCGCAGACGCCTGCCCGTCGAGAATTATGAACACGCCCGCGTGCTTGAGGTAGCTGCACTTTTAGGAGTGTTGGGATCTGAGGAAAGTCACTTAAACCCGAAATATAAAATATCAAAATAAATAATACCAGATAACTTTTTTAAAAACCTTATAGAAACTAAACGAATTCTTTGTTGATTTATTTAAGTACTTATCGTTAACTCGCAAACAAATATTCGAGCTAATCACAATAGGGTATTTTCCAAATTTTAGAAAACTGCTTATATTTAAAGATTGGGACAAACGATATAACAGAAAAACAAAAATAAATGAATTAATGACTTTTTTTCTCCATTAGACCAATTAAAGTTGAATTTATTTTAATGGTTTTGAATTTACCGCCAAAACAGTCGGTTCGATAACGTCTACTGTGTGACGTCAACTTTTTGTAAAGAATTTTAACACCTATGTAGTCTGTGGACGATCTGTGATTACGGAGTAATTATTTGACGATTTCTTTGTTAGAGTATTTCGATTTTACTTATTTTTATTAATTTCAGGAATATGCTTGAAATGCATGCATAAAATATGCAAAATGACACCACCAAATGGTTGTTTTTCTTAACAGTGTCATATTTTTTTTCTCTTCTCTCTGTCTTTGTTAGCTACACTCACTAGTCATTGTAGTAAAATTTCCAGTTTATAGTTCTTCTTTAAACATTTTATTCAAGTTCTGCCATATGATTAAATTAACCCAAAATATCAAACACATTTTACGCGTAGCAGTGTAACCGGATGTTCGCACATTTAAAATCGCTAATTTTATCAACGTTTGGATGAAAACTCCGCTCTCGCAATTTTAACTACAAAATATGGCCTCAAAATTAATAGTCAGCGGAAACAGACCAATATAAGCAATATATGTCTTGACATTTATCAACTACGATGTAACGACAGCAAACAAAACTTCAGCAAATTAGTGTTATATTTGGAACAATTAATATGCTAGACCATGTATTAGATATTATTTCATATGGCTGTTTACTGACATTCATTAATCCCCTAATAAATAAGCAAAAAAATGGGTTCCATGATTTGTTCCTAAAATGCCTTAAACCATCATGAAAGGCAATAAACATTTTATCTAGACTTAATTAACTGAGTGAGAATTTACATATTTTTAGTTTGATACATTAAAGACAATCATAATAAAAAAATATATATAGAAACAGCTGACTAATTATAAGTTTTTTCATGTGTAGAAACAAATTACTATTGTGTACTTAACAGTGTGATAAAGAATTGTGTGGGCTAAAATACGGAAAGGAAAATAAAAGAAGAGATGGATTTGTATAGGTGTATATGGCAAACACAGTCAGTAAGGCGAAGTGTGCGGATAAAGAATGATCGCGAAGGACGGAATATAGTATGATGTCTACCCCAAGAAATGGCTAAGTTAGATATTTTTTACTAACTATGAGATATTGTGGCAGCAGCATACCTGCCTTCTTTTCCTGCCTTATTTCGATCAATACTAAAACACACCCGTGGGAGAGTCCTCTGGCCATGGGGACTTTTGTTTCCTGGCCACGACTATTGATTTAGTGCATTCAATATGTTGGTCTTTACTCTAGCTCCGTCGCTGTGTACACTTCGCATCATAGCGTGCTTCTAACTTAACAGTACTTTAAGCACGAATTTTGACAGATCCGTATTCGTATCGCCATTGTTAAGGTAGAAATTAAGCAGTGCTCCTACCGGAAGTAAGATTAAACTGGCTTCTTCAAACTTTGACATGGCGATACAAATACTTTTTCGCTAGTTGTTCGTGCTTGGTGTACTGTACATTTGTACTCTAAGCAGTCGCTCATAACATCCAGATCCTGGCCGGGTAGTAAAAATCCTTACGGTTACACATGTGTTAGTCGATGAGAGTCGGAAATTATCCTACTCTCCTGTAATGGGGTTGATAGAGAGATCCTGGCCGGGTAGTAAAAATCCTTACGGTTAGACATGTGTAAGTCGATGAGAGTCGGAAATTACCCTACTCCCCTGTAATGGGGTTGATAGAGAGATCCTGGCCGAGTAGTAAAAATCCTTACGGTTAGACGTTTGTTAGTCGATGAGAGTCGGAAATTACCCTACTCCCCTGTAATGGGTTTGATAGAGAGATCCTGGCCGGGTAGTAAAAATCTTTACGGTTAGACGTTTGTTAGTCGATGAGAGTCGGAAATTACCCTACTCCCCTGTAATGGGGTTGATAGAGAGATCCTGGCCGGGTAGTAAAAATCTTTACGGTTAGACGTTTGTTAGTCGATGAGAGTCGGAAATTACCCTACTCCCCTGTAATGGGGTTGATAGAGAGATCCTGGCCGGGTAGTAAAAATCCTTACGGTTAGACGTTTGTTAGTCGATGAGAGTCGGAAATTACCCTACTCCCCTGTAATGGGTTTGATAGAGAGATCCTGGCCGGGTAGTAAAAATCTTTACGGTTAGACGTTTGTTAGTCGATGAGAGTCGGAAATTACCCTACTCCCCTGTAATGGGGTTGATAGAGAGATCCTGGCCGGGTAGTAAAAATCCTTACGGTTAGACATGTGTTAGTCGATGAGAGTCGGAAATTACCCTACTCCCCTGTAATGGGGACGATAGAGAGATCCTGGCCGGGTAGTAAAAATCCTTACGGTTAGACATGTGTTAGTGGATGAGAGTCGGAAATTACCCTACTCCCCTGTAATGGGGACGATGGAGAGATCCTGGCCGGGTAGTAAAAATGCTTACGGTTAGACATGTGTTAGTCGATGAGAGTCGGAAATTACCGTACTCCCCTGTAATGGAGACAATAGAGAGATCCTGGCCGGGTCGTAAAAATGCTTACGGTTAGACATGTATTAGTCGATGAGAGTCGGAAATTACCCTACTCCCCTGTAATGGGGTTGATAGAGAGATCCTGGCCGGGTAGTAAAAATGCTTACGGTTAGACATGTGTTAGTCGATGAGAGTCGGAAATTACCGTACTCCCCTGTAATGGGGACGATACAGAGATGCGCTTCCTTGTCACCCTTTTTAGTTCAAAAATGACGTATTAAAGATCGTTTAAGCACAAAGTAATGGAGACCCTACCGGAGCGAACGAGCGGGGCGCTGCGCGGGCGCGAGGGACGTCCGGCGCGGCGCTGCGTGCGATAAAGCAAGCGCCGCGGGGCCCCGGACCCCCAACACGCGAGCCAGGGGAAGGGGCTAACGTGGATATGACACTTCGTCTCTATGTGATTATTTTTTTATATTATAAAGAGCGGCAAACAAGCCTGTGTCATGCCACGAGCATATGTTAAAAGGTGGCAAATAAGCCTGATGGTAAGCGGCTACCATAGCATATAGACTGTTGCGACATAAAAAATATCACTAACGCCGGTGCCTACCCTGGCCCAATCTTCTATCTCTTGGAGCCCAGAAACCTTACTTATAGACAGAAAAACAACACCACCAAAAGGGAGTGCAATTTTACTGTGGTCTTCTGTAAGGTGGAGGTTACTTCCCCAGAAGGGTGCTCCAATTCGAGCGGGGAATACGCTACGCTACTAATTAATTCATATTTAAATTATTTGTGCAGTTAGGGCATAAAAACGCTATTCTATGGCAATCAACAGGACACAAACCTGCGCTTTCCGCAATCCGGGCGGACGCTCTAGGATATAGGCGCAGGTTCAAGTCCTGACTGATGCCTGAACCGAGAGAATTTTAAATCTGCTGTTTTAACAGCCAGATTTAAAATTAAATGCTTTAATAAATATCGTGATAAACTCAGTTTTGTTCACTATTTAACCCCATCTAACGATTTGGCAATCAGAGGACAGTCCCCACCAACAAGATCAACTATATGCTCAAGACCCTTTGAAAGAAAATCATTCAATACTGAAGATGCCATAAACGTCACAAAATTTTAAATATAGAGAATTGATAAATATAAATCCTTTATAATGACATAAAAACTATTTATCAAGTAAGTAAATAATAAAGCTATATAAGCGTAGAAAACTTTGTTTTTAATTATAATAATACTAATTATATACTATTCCAAGTAGTTATTTCTAATGAGATACTAATAAAGTATAATATGGCGTATCCATATTATTATTTCATTGGTGCTTGCGCCCACCACACCGTGTAAATAATAATTAATTTTATTGTAAATGGTTATATTTTATTGCGGGATTTGTCAACAGAGTGTACGATGTATTCTGTGCTCTGAGATATTTATCGACTGTTGCTTAACCGCGCCTGCGTTTAGTAATAATGGCTGATGTACCAGTTGATCTAATAGATACTTAGACCATAGTGATTGCAGAGGCTCAAGCACGAATTGTGACAGCTCCGTAATCTATGCTTAAATACTTTCTGACACATCCATCGGCCCATTAAGCATTAAGTTTTGACTGTCCCTAGTTAAGAGCCCTTTCACATTTTTTGCCAAAAATGCGTAATTTTTGAGCGCCTCTTTTACCCCCTTAGAAAAGATTTTGACTGTTTCCAATAGAAGTAAACAGTTAATTTATTCTTCCTATTGTAAGTTAATGTAGAATATTTGCAAATACTATTTTCCTTTTTTTGTAATGATCGTTCTACCGCAGCTAGTTTACGGAAAAAACCATAATATGCACAACTTCAAACGCCTAATTTCCTAAATAATGTTCAATAAATTAGATCAAATTAATTACTACAACATCAGATTTTCTATCTCATTAATTATCAAAAATAAAACATCTAACCTCCATGAGTTTTCCCAAAAAATAATTCAGGGATACCTCGTATTTTGATATTGTATTAAATAGAATTACTATCAAAAACTTTCATAAAACTAATCTACCATCATTGAACTACTGAAATATGTATATATTTTTATAATTAGTTCATTAATAATTATTTTACAAAATTCGAAACATCACCCGTAAAATGCAATATATACTAGTGCAAATCTACCTACGCGCCGATCAGTACGGCAGCGGTGCTATTTTGTAAAAGGGCTCTTAACAATAAATGTTACATTGAGCAAAAAGTTATTACCTACGTACTTATAACACTTAGTTGGCCAATAGATGTGTCCGGGAGTATATGTATCGCACCATTAAAGTTTCTATGAAAAGTAAGCTAGAACAAACTGGCTCCTTCATAGAAAATTTAAAAAACAATACAATTACGGGGCTTCGGCCGCGGACGGCATCTGTCTGTGAAATACTTAATTAAATATATTTCGTAAATTTTTTTCATGCAAGATTGTTAAACCTCATCTCTGACACTCTTCTTACTCCCATCGTTTATCATCATTATCATCATCAGCCAATATCCCCACTGCTGGGGCACAGGCCTATGGATGGACTAGGGAGATTGGGCCATGACCCACCACGCGGGCCCAGTGCGGATTGGCGGGTGCTAACGACTGCAGATGCAGCCGGGACCAACGGCTTAACGTTCCTTCGGAAACACGGAGGAACTCGAGATAGAAGATTTTTGATTACCCATCCAATGACCGACCACTGCGAAAGTTGCTTAGCTTCAACGATCGCATCCGAACGCGCTAACCACCCGCGCCATCGAGCTCCCCATCTTTTATACCTTTCATTTATTTGCTGTTTCGTTTCCTTTCCTCTTCCTTTCGCCTCTCACTATTAATAAACCGTCCTCTCCTTTCCCTCCCTTTCCCACCCATTCGACCTTCCTGACTGCATCTCGACACGGCCTCGGATTCTAATTGGCCTACTCTACTAGTGTTGAGTAGGACTTACAAGAGGCGGTACATTTGTCCCGGACATGACGTCAAATTGTAAGAGCGGCTCAAAATTTTAAAATGTACTACTTCACATTAAATGTCGCGATAGTCGCGTCTCATTACTCACTCACTCTTCGTAAGTCTGAGAGAGAGAGCGAGGCGTGACATTTTATTTAAGTCCTTTACGCACTATCCATCTGTATCTCTATCTGTTTTACGTGTATAGCGCTGTCCTGCATGCTGGATCCAGCAAGATTGATAGTGCGTAGAGGAGGTGCTACTCGTGCACACAAACGTTATGTCGAGCTTCTGTACGACTCAATGTCATATTTGTACTCGTCACTTCAAATGTATTGCCGAGCTTCAGTACGCCTCGCCTCATTTGAAGTGGGACATTGTACTGGTTCAGTACAAAAAAGAGGCTACTCTTACAAACTCTTTTTCAAGTCGTGTCCTACCCAACACTATACTCTACCAACTATCGAATCCTCTACATCACAATATAACCCATCATCAACTTAACTTATTATGACGACCTCCGTGGCCGAGTGGTTTATACGCCGGGTTTCATGGCGTCGCCGACTCAAGAGGTCCCGGGTTCGAATCCCGGTGGGGGCAAATGTTTGTTTGATGAATACGAGCATTTGTACTCCAGTCATCGATATTTAATATGTATTTCATATAATTATATACTTATATATGTACAATATATGTATTCTATCCGTTACCCTAGTATCCCATAACACAAGCTTTTACAGAGCTTACTTTGGGGCTAGGCTAATTCGTGTGAGTGTTAGAAATTTTTTAATATTATTATTAATATAATAAATAATTAAGTGTTAAAAAAAACAATTACAGAGCTGTCAAGTACTCGTGCTCAGGATAAACATTTACAAACTGCATGAAAAAAATTCATCCATTTGCAAAATTTCTTCAAACAAATTCGTGTAAAGATTATGTGAATAATGTAAATTCACACGATCTTACTGTTATGCGGAAGAAGTGTATTCGTATCTTTTCACAAACAGACAATACGGAGGGCTGCAAACCTTTTTTTTTCAAAAGATATAAAATACTCTTCCAAGCTTAGGTATACATACACGACTGTGGTCTTGTATTTAAAAATTCTAACGCGTTTGATAAAGTTAGCCAAACCCATAATATTAATACCCGCTATACAAATAGATTAAATCATCCCTCATCAATACTAAGCATATAATACAAAACTAAAAAAAAAACTAAAATAAATTAACAATAAATTTCAAGTAGATAATAATTTCATATATGAATGCACAAATTTGTTTGAAATTATTATAAATATATTTGATACTATTTATTAGAAATGTTTGAAAATTGACCATATAATAAATAAAGAACGAATCGACGAAATCGGCCCTAGCATTAAAATTAAAAGTAATCCTAACTTGTCCTATTTGGTAAACAATCTTGGCACTCATTGAAAATATAACATTAAAAATCAACTGATAACTGGATTCAATAGGTTTCAGTCTATAGTAATGATTTATTTTAATAGTTTATTGGCTTCGTTATTATTTTATTTTTAAATGGGTGATTTTGTTAAAAAGTTGTACCAAGATTGTTTACCTTAATAAATGCAATATAGGCGACCTTAAGTATTTATTAACATAAGAATAGAACTAGGTAGATATCTTAGTTTATCCTTAGTTAGATTATTTCTGAAATTATGTAAAGATAGTTTATACTCCCATTTTATGAAAATCATAATGATAACCAGGTACATACCTTATTACCGATAGTAAAATATAGAAACAGGTAAATGGAAAGACTTTGAACATTTCATTTGAAAAGAAATCTATTATTACAACAGGTAGGTATAGGTATCATAGGTGCCAACTACCAACACTCATAAATCAATATGAATATAAGCATTTATTATTTTTATTATTAATTGCATTTTATGTTCATTTAATGCATATTATTTATGCGCTTACACAGAGGTAATCACTAAATCTATTCAGAATATATAAAGTGTACATCTTTTACGATTAAAGTATAATAATTATAATCTCTAAATCTAATACATTCTGTAGTAGGCCACGGTTCCTCAAGTTGTCCATATCTCAACAAATGCCAAATTAGAGTTTACGAATGATTCCGAACACAACTAGCATTTTCTCATTGCTGTGCGTTCTAGGGCATTCAATGTATAGCAATATATCCTTTGAGTATATAATAAGATACCAGGATACATAAAGAAAGAGGAAAAAAATAAAAAAAAATAAAAACCTTGATAAATTTAGAAATCTATTCAAACGAAAATCGACTTCTGTTTTATCTCGAAGAATAGAACCACCAAAAATTAAGATACCTGTTTATTTCAAGTAAAATTACCAAAACTTGGAACCCTCGTCAGGTCAACTAGTTCCTAGTTATTGAGTTTTCTACTTTAATTCTTAATATGATTTTGTTCATACTTAAGAAATAATATATT